TATGTTGATAATCACTTGTTTCTTTGAATATATAGTATTACCATTGCATAATAGGCTTTGCATGGATATATATGTTGATAAACTAATAACTGATATAATCAAAACAATTGCATGCATTGCTCAAGACTCCTATCATAGCTAAAATAGGTAATCAACAGTGGTGGAACTTGCTTCAAATGGAGTCACCCTACATAAAATGTTTATCATCCAATTATTATTTTATTATACTACGTACACATATTCATGATCCCTTAATATGATATTTACCTCTTAAGAGTCATGTTTGCATTTCAGAGACAAAATATTAGGAGCATCAATCAACATTTCAATTTCATTATCTATTGATAATCATTCTCTCAAGTTCTCCAGAATTATTTAGTAGACCTTACTGAGTTCAGTTTCATGCTCATGGCTCTTACGTAGTTCTTTAACCGCACTACAATCATCTTCCTCCTCTTGGTTTATGTGTCATCCTATGAAAAAGTTGTATATCTTAATAGCTTTGACATTCTCCATGACAGAAGAAAACCATATTCTTGAGATCTCTAGTATTCTCTTCTACTGAAATTATATTGCTACTCTATTTTATCATCAACCTGAAATTTTGGACAACAATTTCGTGAAAATAAAGTTATGAAAAAAGAAAAAAAGAAAAAATGTTAACAAGCATATATTAAATTTTGGAGGCAAGGTAATGTTTATAACGAGAGTCTTTAGCTGAGAAGAACTCCTAACAAATACAAAATTTAGAGAGCTCCCATTTTGTTAATCTTGTGCTTAGTTTAGGGCATTTGACCCTATGACTGATGGATTCTTTATTTTGCACCTTCAATAAACACAATATCTATACAAAAAAATAAGGAGAAACAATGTTTGATAATTATTTATTGTCATTACTAATAAAAATTTTTATTCTTAATGACTTAAAAATTGTCTAACACAAACTATGTAATTAATATACTAGACAACACAAAACATAAGACAACCTATTGTATACTTGAGAATAAATTTAGAGTCAATTATAAGATCTTGAACATGATCAACACTGTATAGAAATAATTCTAGTTGATTAGGCAAATAGGTAAAGCACCTCCAAGATCAAAGTTAACTTTCATGAGAAGTGACAGTCCCTTAATATTATATTTGCCTCTTGAGAGTTATTCTCGCCAATTTAGAGGTTGTAGATTAGGAGCATCAATCACCATTTTAGTGTCATCAAATTCATTAACATTCTCGACCATGGTTTTTAAAACTGACCCGAAGACCAAACCGGTTAGGGGTCCAGTTACCAGGTCAAACGGTTGGTCCGTTTTGACAAAAAAAATAAAAAAATAAAAAATGATCAAAACTGTTCAAATGGTTAACCGCCCGAGTCAGCGGTTTGCTGACCAAAATCAACGGTTTTTTTTGAGAAATCCCAGTTTTGGGGAAAATGGAACCAATTTCCTGACCAGTTCCCGGGTTTTTTGGTCTGACCGTCGGGTCTGATCCGGTCCGATTTTGAAAACCATGTTCTCGACAATGTGCAAGATGTTAAAGTTACGAAACATATTACACTACTTAAAAGACAACTCTGCGAGTATTGGACGATTACAAGTTAGATCACTAATTGCATTATTAGGTAAATAAAAAGCTACAAGAAACAACGTTTTGAGTGATCTTAAATGTATGAATGTAGAAAGACTAATATCACAACAACATAATTATAAGTTTCTTAATGTTCCACATCTAAAAATGGCAGGAGGTAAGCCACATAATTCATCTCCAAAGCAATAACTAATTGGAACATCATCATCAAAATCTAGATCGAGTTTCTCCACATCATCCTCTAATGCGTAATCAATCCATGAGTCAATTTGGGAGTTTTTAGTGTAGTGAGTATCTACCTTAATGCACAACCTTTTAACCTTAGAACCCTTATGACGGAAAAGTGAAGTTTCAATAAAGGCAACTTTGCAATCTCCTATATGTCTCCATGTTGGGAATAATATCTCCACAAATATCTCCACTCTCCTGACAAGAAGTTAGTTTGAATGATCTCTTCTACTGACATGAAATACATGATATGGTGAAGTAGATCGTCTTATAAACCACTAAGCAAATCACGGGTGTCTCCTACTAGGGTTTGAAATTCATCTCCTTCTGTGTCAGAAAGTTTCTGCATTTTAATTCCTTCTACCTCCATTTTCTTGGATTAGCTTTCAACTATAAAATTAAAGCTAATTATCGAGAATCGAAGGGGAAAAACTTATGATTTCTACGATACCTAAGAACACAAAACAAATGAATAAGATAACACATATAATTTAGAGTAAAATTTTATTGATAAATTAAAAAAAAAGAAACAAAAAATAGAAGCAAACAAGAAGGAGACATACTTGTTGAGTCAATTTAGACAAATACCGTTGCAAGTTTACTCCAATCCCTTCTTATGACTTTGATATTCCATAAGTCGTTGATTGCCCATTTCATGTGTTATAATCTTGATTGTTCATGACCTGTGAATAGTACTATTCATGGGCTGGGTTTGGGCTTACCTTTTGTTAAAATTCTAATAGGCCCGGCCCAAAGCCTGAGCCTGAGAAAGTGTAAAGTTGGGCCCAAAGCTTGGCCCGTGAACAGATCTACCCGTGAATTAGGAGAAAAAAAAGAAGAAAGTAAAGCAAATGATGGAGTCGAAGGAGGAGAGACGGGAAGAATCAAAGAAGAATGAATTCTCTTGTTGGTCACCAAGAGTGAAGACGATAACTCCTTTGGTACATGAGTGATGTCTCTCAGCCTACGATTGGTGCCAACTAACAATTGTAATTAAGTACTTTAACAGAATTATCTATACCATATACTAAAATAAATGGTGCCGCCGGCTGAAAATTAAATCAGTTGTATGTACTCGTATTGCAAGGTTTTCTCTTTCACAAACACACTAGCCAAAATTTCTAGTTCATTATCTTTTGTAAAATGATGAGCATTGGTTCAAACATTACGGTTCTGATGAGGGCGAATTTAGCCCTCTAATGATATTGTGACACATGGCACTTCGAAACAATTAGGTGACACCCGAAACCATTTAGGCAATAACTTGCCTTAGCCAAATTGATGGTGTCCCACCTGGCGACCTGGCCCAGGCGCGAGCTGGCGGCCTGACCCTGGCGCGACCTGGCGGCCTGACACAGGCGCCAACCTGGCAACCTGTGAGATGTGTTCGCCGACAAATTCGGCATGCATATCCAAACACTCCTACGATCCTTGGAAGTTGGCCCACGTGTCGAACGATCCGGAGGGTGGTCAACGTGCATGGCGGTTGCCTTAGGGAATCTCAGACCATTTAGACGATTTCTTGGAAATCTCGAATGCGGTGCGTGAAGCCCACGCCAAACAATGCCTATATAAAGGCACCAACACCAATGGCATAGGGGGGGGGGGCAAGTAAGCATATTCTAGCTTTCATACTTTGTGATTTTTAACTCGCAGTCTACTATGAGAGTACTGACTTAAGCATCGGAGTAACCTCGTCGGGTTAGCCACCCCGGGTCCTCTGACATTGATTCCTTGCAGGTCTCTAAAGAACTACGAAGTTCAACAATCAATCCAGCTCGCCACCAGGCAGCTTGGCCCTTTGGTCAGCTCGGCAACTAATAGGTAGCTCGGCAACTAATAGGCAGCTCGGCCCTTTGGTCAGCTCGACACCTAATAGGCAGCTCGGCCCTCTGGTGAGCTCGACACTCTGGTGAGCTCGTCACCTAACTTGCCTAGCTCGGCCCAGTCAACTCGTCACCTAATCTGCCCCCAGCTCAGCCTGATCAGCTCGACATCCAGGTCCTCATCCAACAAAAGTTCACTTCGGTTTCTGAATTATCGACCACTTGGAAGCAGATCAAATGACGAGGTATACTTAACACAAAAAATTAATACATGACCAAAAATTGATTCATCAGGTTTTATTAACAAGAGCATCCGTATGTATTGTTGATCATGAATGAAATTGCCAAAGGAAGTCTGATAGGTGAATGAAGGGAATAAATTCCAACGGACAACCCAATGTTAGATTTATTGCCACAAACATGAGATGCTTCAGAAGTTCATCCAAATGCGGGATTGTGCAGATGTCTTTCACAATTTCCAGCTTCATATAACCATTGGTTATATAAATCGTCTTTTGAAGAATAACACCCTCCTCGTCTTCGCTTCTTTCTGGTATCATCCATTTCGGTAGGGCTCAAATATTTTTGTATGTTGGGGCAACTACGATACACAATGTCAGCTTTTTGTATGTTGGGCTCATATATCAGACTAACAAGTTCTATTTGGGTTGGGCTGAGCTAAAAATTATCGCCCCTAACCATAATCCACAATCACAATTACAAGTTCTATTTGGATTGGGCTCAGCCCAGACCTATCCTATCCAACCATAAATATAGGGTTTGGTTGGAATTTTGTGTTAGGATTTAGAATTTGGGTTCAGTCCATGAATTTATTATTGGAGTAGAACATCATCATTGGTTCAACAGTTTGCTGAACAGCTATCATGTTCATGTTCAGCCAAACCCTGCTCTTTCAAATGGGGTTACTATTAACTATTGCAACTTAACCATCTCCCACTATTTCTACACCTACAGTTTGAGAACCTATTCTCCAAGATTCGTTTTATTTTCTTAAAAAATTTATCAGTTGGGTTTTATTTTAAAATTTTAAAGAATGGTAAAGAGCAAATTTAATATATATATATTTTTTGATCAATAGTAAATTTAATATAAATTTGCCCTATTTATAAACCGATTATAAACGGAAACAGGTGTTGTTTAGGCAAATCGCAAACTATAAGGTGAGTTTTAATAAATGCATGAAACTATAACGGGTCTTTTAGTAAGTAATCCAAAAAAGCTGCGATGTGTTAATAACAGTTTCGACGGTCCAGATTAAAGGTTGGTCAACCAATTGGTCCTCGGATTGAAGGGGACTAGGGAGTACGGTATTCCTGTAAAGCTTTGCTACGTGAAATCACCGAAATGCTTGATATGGTTCATTTGTCCCCAAAACAGATCGGAACCCGCCGAGGCGAGCCCCTTCTTCCGCCGGATTCGACTCCAATCTCCATAGTTTCTGGTAAGAAGTCTTTTCTCGTTCTGTAGATATTTCTTCGAGCAGATCGTGAATTTTATTTACTTATTATTGGTAACCGAATTTTATGCGAAATCTGTAAATCTGATCTCGAATCGGAGTGTTCAAATACCTAAATTGGGGTTTCACAAAAAAAAAAAAACTAAATTGGGATTGTATGTTCCAACTGGTCTTCTTTAGCAACTTGATCTAAGGTTATATTTAGTTTTCGGATTTTTCAATTATCGCAGTTATTCTGAAGCCTTAGGTTACGAAGTTTATATCTTCCTCTCTGATATTGTTCTCGATTGATATAATATAAGATCTTGAAGTAATGTTTGTATTCAAGCATATTATTGCTTAGGTTTTGCTCAAATTGCAGTGAATTTGTGTATTCGGAGAATTTTCTTTTATACTATTATTTTGCTTATGAATCTCGAGTTTCTTCATACTAGAAAATATGTGTTTCTTTACCCCTTCCCTCCACTAAAGATCAAAGTTTATTGGATCCAGAAGAGAAATTTTAGTGGTTTGCGTTTATTTGCAAACTCGTCTACGAAAGTATGCAGTTGTGCAACCCTCACTGATGAGTTACTAGATTTTCTCTGTAGGTTTGACCTTTAGTGTAGGGGAGACATAATTCTGTTAGAAAGTTTAACCTGAGTCGATTTATCGGTTGACAGACAGAGAAACACAATCTACACTTAGTGTTTAGTTGGAAGGAGCAATGCCATCACAGAAGATTGAGACGGGTCATCAAGACACCGTTCATGATGTGGTCATGGATTACTACGGCAAGCGTCTCGCTACGGCGTCTTCTGATACTACCATCAAGATCATTGGTGTGAGCACCTCAGCATCACAGCATCTTGCCACTCTGAGTGGTCATCAAGGCCCTGTGTGGCAGGTTGCATGGGCTCACCCCAAGTTCGGCTCCATCCTTGCTTCTTGTTCCTATGATGGGCGAGTAATAATTTGGAAAGAGGGCAACCAGAATGAGTGGACTCAAGCCCATGTCTTTGATGATCACAAAGCCTCCGTCAATTCCATTGCATGGGCTCCTCATGAACTTGGTCTCTGTTTGGCCTGTGGATCATCTGATGGAAACATATCGGTCTTCACTGCCAGGGCTGATGGTGGTTGGGACACTACAAGGATTGACCAAGCTCATCTCGTTGGTGTCACTTCAGTTTCATGGGCTCCATCAACAGCTCCTGGAGGTCTTGTTGGACCTGGCATTCTCGAGCCTGTTCAGAAGCTTGTCTCCGGTGGCTGTGATAATACTGTGAAGATTTGGAAGCTGCAGAACGGAAGTTGGAAGATGGATTGCTTCCCTGCCCTTCAGATGCACACTGATTGGGTGCGGGATGTGGCTTGGGCACCCAACTTGGGGCTTCCGAAGTCTACCATTGCCAGTGCTTCACAGGATGGGACTGTAGTCATATGGACTGTGGCGAGAGAAGGGGAAAAATGGGAGGGTAAGGTTTTGAAAGATTTTAAGACCCCAGTTTGGAGAGTCTCCTGGTCATTGACTGGAAACATATTGGCCGTGTCTGATGGGAATAACAATGTAACATTGTGGAAAGAGGCAGTTGATGGAGAATGGCAACAGGTGACAACAGTTGAACCATAGAATTCAGCTTTTTCAGTTTTTCTCTTGCATTACTATACCATGCTTTAGGTTTCCTCTTCCACTCTGTTGGCAAGAGCTTTCTCCTTTTTTCTTTTTTCCGTTTTCTTTCATTCTCACTTTCTTGAGTGTAGTGAGCCAAATACTTCTATGTAATTGTGTTGTTTTTATAGTTGCTTCTACCTACTTTAGGAGTGAAAGAAATGACGGTTGAGGTCACAAACCCTTTTTATTGGATTTGTGAAATCGTCTTCCTGATGTGTGTGGCTATACTAGTTCTTCGTTTCATCTCTTCAACTTGGTTGTGCATGCTTTTACATGATTCTGTTTTACAACTCTATTGCATCTGGGTATACTAAAGATGCCAATCCACTTGGATCATACATATTAAGTTGCTGTAATCTTTAGAGTTTTTTTATGTTGAATTGCCATAGAAGCAATAAGTACAAGGGACAAGTAGAAACTGAATGTTCTCACAAGCATGGTAGAAGACTGGAAGGGAATGTTAGTGATCCATCAGTAGCAGATGACATGCAATTTGTAACATCCACTGACGAGGTTTAACTTTTAGTATACAACGTGAAATCTGCTGATGGTTTGAGCTGACTTGGGAATGCGAATTTTGATTTAGTAGGATGTCGTTATCCCAGCACTCTTATATTTTACATGCAATCCCTTGCTTTAATGCTCAAGTAATGCATTATCTCCCAGCTGGCACACCATTTTTCTTTTAAAGTTACCAGAGAGAGAAGAACACGACATTAAGGCTGTGTTTGGTTTGATAGAAATAAGAGAGAAAAGAAAGTTGAGGGTAAATTCTCAAGTAGTTTCACAAAATTTTTAACAACCTTCCCTGAATTTTCTGTTTCTCTCCTAGTTTCTGTCAACACTAACATTACCCAAGGGAAATATGTGTGATTGAGTAGCAGAAAACATGCAGTTGTGATAAAATTCAACTTATTTTCTTCAAGTTGGTATACTGTGGTCAAACCTGTGACTTGTGATTGGGCTGAAGAATGCCAATGAATTCAACCAAAGAAATCAAGAATTCAAGATCACAAGATACATGATTAATGGAGTCGTGCAAAAGTCTGTCCTAGAAACCAAAATCATCTTTCATTGTCGAAAACTACATTGTTTAATTAGATTTCATAATTTTTATTTTCTTAAGAGAAATGGTTAAGTGATACGTATTTGCTAGCCTCTTAGTATGTTTACTGAATAAACATTTGTATTTTATTTGCTGGTAAAACCGAAAAATGTAATAATTGCAATCGTTTATGACAACATGGCACTAGGCACCACATCAGCATAACAATGAATAAACGCCTGGCTGTTTGTGGAAGTTTTAAAAAATAAATTCCACAAATGGCTGGCATGCACAAAAACCAAAATTCACTTTTTACATTTCCGATGCATGCAGAAGTTTAAGCGAGAGAAAATGCTGAGATGGTGCCTATGTGGCATCGTCAGTAAATGTTTACCGAATAAACGTAAACGGAATCAAACACCCTCTTAATTATCCTATAGGGACATTATGAAAAAATGATTTTGTATAAATAAAAAAATAATTTTCTGATGAAACGAACAAACAAAAGTAATTGTCCTACAGGGACATTTGCTAGCCTCTTAAAAGTTCGCAACACTTCCAGAAGAAAAATCTCTCCATAAAGTATTGTTTATGTCAATGGTGGAATGGCAAGTGATTATATAGTGATAGGGAAACCGAGGAGATTGAGTTTTGAGAGGCCAAATGTTTTTGAGTAGGATTTGCAAATATTTCTTGATTTGGGGGGCTAATGAGAAAGCTTGGCTTTGAGGCTAAGCCATTCTAACATGCTCAACCATGATCAAAATGAAGTTTTGACAATATGTGGTGTAGAATAAACATTAGGTCATTAGCGATTTAAGAAGTAAAATGTCAGACCTGAGCTAAACATAAAGCATGGTTATAAGAAAAGAATTGGGGAACTAACGATACATGGAGCTGTAAGTCTGCAACTGTTTATCAAACAAAAAACAGGCCTTCACTATAATTCAGGTCTTGATTCATTTCCCCATTTCCTTTTAAACCCATTGAAACCTCCTGAAAAGCAAGTGGTGTCACAAATTTATTCACCAAAATCTAGGTTATGGTGCATAGAAATCATAACTAGATGAGGTGCCACTGTATAGCAATTTCTCAAAATATAAAATGAAAACTAGATAAATAAGTAACCATACCCAAAATTCAATCCATGAACAATCCTTGATAAGCTGGTTATTGAGTTGACACAAATATTAGTCAAAGAAATGACACCAATAAGAAAAAAAAAGCCATTACATCAATCCTCCCAAAACTATTATGAATACAATCAAACCCCAGCACAACATGACCATGATGACCGGACACTCCACTGACCATCTGAACCACATAAGTTCTATGATAGTTATAGGAAGGGGAGAATCACAATAAGTTAATATGAAATGTCACTTTGGGCTAGATGGGTTATTATAAGTACATCCATTTTTAGTTTCTACGCTGGTTTTGTATGAGGCCTCAGCAACTAATTAGAAGGTAAACAAAATAATTATAATCATTCAAAGGCCCCATTCATCATTATAAGCTAAGCTTGTCCCAACTATATGGGTTGGGTTGTCAATTTACCATGATCATGTGTGTAACCAGATGCAACTATTTTCTGTTCTGTTCCAAGAACAAATTCTTATCAAAGCAAAGCTTAGCACAGGAGCATAAGTAGAAATAACATGGGAAAAGATTCACTGTTATTCAATCAATTTGCTAATACAAGAAGAACCTTAACCATGTAATCGTAACCGGATGGAACAGAAGATCCATCATCCAGAATTAATTAGATTAAAGGAAATATATAACAATGAATGATAAAACAAAAATGAAAGAAACAGCATATTTGGTCAAACTAAAATTGTTGCCAAGCTATAACCAGGAGTCTTGGCAACCTTTCTGTCCTTCATCACCCTTCTTATCCTCTCAACATCTTCCCACATACAAGCACTAGCATATATGTTGGATAACACAACATAAACCCCATCATTCCAAGGTTCTAGCTCTTGGAGTTGCCTAGCTACCCACTCTGCAACCTCCACATTCCCATGCTTCTCACAGGCACCCATGAGAGTCCCCCAAATAATAGAATTTTCCCTCATCGGCATCCTCTCCACCAATTCTTTGGCTTCTTCAAGCAATCCAGCACGTCCGAGTAGATCCACCATGCAGCCATAGTGTTGCATCATGGGCGTGATTCCATATGTCCTCTTCATCATTTGGAAGTAATGTCTCCCATCTCCCACCATTCCACCATGCACACATGCACTCAGGACCCCTACAAACGTGACATGGTTAGGCCTGACTCCTGCTTGTCTCATGGAACGAAAGCATTCAAGAGCATCATATGCACATCCGTGCAAGGCATGACCCATGATCATCGATGTCCATGTAGACACATTACGTTCCACCATTCCTGTGAAGACCCTGTGAGCCAGGTCCATTCGGCCACACTTCCCGTACATGTCTATAAGAGAATTCAACATCAAAATTTCTGGTTTCTCTAAAGTTTTAGCTTGGAATACACATTTGTGTAACTGGAGAGCTAAGTTCAAGTCCCCCAAATTTCCACAAGCAGAAGTTACACCAACCATGGTCACATCATCCGGATAGAAACCACATTGTCTTAGCTGTATGAAAATATTTATGGCTTCCTTGGCGAATCCTCCTTGGGAAAGGCCTCCTATGATGGCATTCCAAGAACCCAACTTCCTCTCATGGTTTTGTTCGAACAGCTTACGTGCGTTATTGAATTCTCCCACTTTGCAATAGAAGCTAATGAGCCCGCTCTCGCAGAACTCGTTCAACTCAAGGCCTCGCACAATAGCAACAGAATGAAGTTGGCGCCCGGCGTCAATTGCATAAACCTGACACACGGCCTTTAGGACAATAGGGATTGTGTAGGAATCTGGTGACACCCCAGCTAGTGACATGGCAATATAAGCGTGAAGTGCCATGGATGGGACATCGAGCCTGACGTAGGACCTTATAATGCCGTTCCAATAAAATGGAGAGGGATAGAAATCTAACATTTGGGTTCGAATGATTCGGGCATGTAGTTGACAAAGTTCTTGTAAGCATGTGCAGTTCGACAGTTGGGTAATGATAATTTTGGCCGGATCCTGATCGGAATCCGGCGATGTGGTGTTCTTGGGAGATTGAACATTAGTTTGGCCTTGAATGTGACAGGAATGGCTAGAAATGACACGGCTTTTGGGTATTTTGGCTCTACGAAGACCAAGTAAGAGTAGATGGAATGAAGTCATGTGGTATTGTGGTGGATTCAAATACGCAGGATTTGGTTAGTAGGACTTGAAAGCACATTATCAGATTATCTGACCAAGCTGCTTAGCGCTTAGGAGTCAAGGCTCAGGAGACTCGGAATGGGATCCATGACACTAGTAGATTGGTATAATGGTATTGGTCCCACAAGATAATAGGTTTAAAATAAGCTTGCTGAATGGCTGAATGAATTCAATTTTTCAAACACCGGCATTTCTCTCTCTCTCATGATGCGTTCATAGATAGGTGTGGGTGGGCTTGGTCCAAGAATTGAGGTCAAGCCCAACTTTTCAATCTCAAATTCATCTCATAACCCAAGCTCAACGTATGCAGCAAAACCTGGGTTTGGATTAAGTTGGGTTCGTAGTTGCAAATTTAAGCTCTGTTTGTTTGTGATACAAATATCGAATCGGGGTATTTATATATTTCAGTTTGCGTTTGCAAGTATTTATTTGATGTGTTAAAAAAGTAATGATTATCAGAGTAAAAATGTATTTTTTGACACTTTTGTACTCTGAAAAGAAAGCATTATTGTATCTATTTTTTGGATACAATTTTGTGTTTTCTTGATAATTAACTTTTTGACCAAAATTAAGGTATTAAAGCATATGAAATTTGGAGCATTTAATGATGGGCCCACACTTTTGCACGGATTTCAAACAAACAAGACAGAATACAAAATCAGTTTAAAATGTGAATAGTATTTACATTCATGAACCAAAAAATAAGTAAATAATAAATGTTTTTAAAAAGCAAATGAAAAAAAATTTTGAAAAACATTTATTAGTGCTTGTCTAGGTGCAACATATGTCAAACAGTGAAAAACGTCTTATTTCACAATCCGGGGAAACATTTTCTTGACAAACATATTAATCAAACAAAATTTTAGACTCTATTGGGGAAATGCCTATTTGACAGTAAAGTGGTGTCAATTATCTAATAAACAGCAATGGAACCAAACAATTAAATGCCCCGAATAGCATCATCAAACTGCTTAAATGGATTAAAACCAAAACTATCTTCTATTATCTAACAAATCTAAATGGTGTTTGGCATCAAGGTGGTATATTTACCCTTGAATTTTAGCATAAACATTTCTGCCATAGAAGTGCTTGATAGAGATGCATGCTGAACAGGCATTTAAAGCGTTCAAATTTTCCTTAAAATTTGCAATAATTAGGAGTTGGACAAGTCAAAAAAGTGGTTCACTTTTTCATTTCATAGTGGTGTTTTAGCAACACCATATATCTCGGAAATGTCAATTTGGGTGGTGTTTGGCATCCATGCCGTTTGCTGAAAAAACGATACCATGTAGGCATTATATCAGAAAAAGCGATGTTTCAGAAAATGGCCTATTATTTGGTATCGTTTTTTTATAAAACACGTTGTTTTAAATTACGCTTTATAAATTGGGAAAGTGTGGTCTGAAGCAATGTCAAATTTGATGTTTTTTCAAAAAATAGCCTGTTGTGGTGTAATGATGTGGCATCATCTTGAACGTTGGATAATATGATCAATGCTGAAAACGGTTCTAAAGCAATGATACCAAATAAAATCAGTACTGTTTTCTCAGAATATAATCTATTGCATCATTGCTTCCAAACCAAAAAAAAAAAAGCACCATTTTGGCATTTTTCTAAGAAAACGATGCTTACAACCAGACATGCGCAGCACCTACTTGATGTTTCCACAACAGCAATGCAAGAAATTGTTCTAGACTATGTTATTGCATTGACATTTTCTCTTGAACATACATATAAAAAATACATTTGTTTGCATGCTTATGCTGAAAAACTGATACGACTAATTATTTAAATGCAATGAAAGTGCCAAACACTCTCCAAGATTTGTCAAGGAATCAGTGCAGAGTCTGCAGACTGTTGTCTCTATACAAACTTAGAACCCCCTAGAATCAAAGTTCAAATTTTCATTAATATTAAGGTGGTGTTTCTTTTTGGAATTGAGGGGAGGGAAATTTAGTCAATGGGATTTTGATTTTCATGGATCAAGAAACTCATGTTCTTCTTTCAGATTTATACGGAGATCAGGGAAAATTTATTTTTCTTGGATATCACTTGCCTAGAAAAGTGATATCCATCTCCTAAGTGGATAAATAACTTTTTCACATGAGAAAAAATTGTCAACACTTAGATGGGATAAAAATACCCTTTCTAATAATGTTTTTTTTTTTATTAAAACGATCATTATCTTATTTACCTAAAAAATAAAAATAAAAATATTAATAAATACATTTACCTGAATAAATAATCTACCATAAAACAAATAAGACATAAATATCAAATCAGGAAAATAATAGATTTTTTAATTTTTAGTACTTGTCATATGAGGATATGTTTCCAATGCATAGTTGGAATGTGGTGTGGGGCACGCAACATGGGGAGCGATTGTGAATCGTCTGTTCGGCCAATGTGAGTTTCTTCATTTATTCAGCTGATCACATGAAATTCTGACTGCACGCTTACTAGAGCTTCCCTCTGGATTTCATTAATCAGCACCATCAGTTGAGCTTGACTCATCCTTCTCCTTGCCATGTTAATCCCAATTCGGTGGGTTGCATGTCTCTAAACTCTATCCTCCTGTTAGGGCCGAGGAATCCTCGAGTATATAACGAAGCTGATAGCCAAAGTTCAGAGCCTGGACGAAATCATTCCATTTTAACTTTTTTTAAGGAAATTGAACATTTAAGTTCACACATCATATTTAAGATTTCATTCATGGAGTCACTCAAATCTTGATAAGAAATAGAAATAAAACTTAGAATTTCTAAAAATGAACTCATTTTTAATTCTGATACCGGAACCAGAATCACTAAAAAATTTGCATTTTAGTATTAATTTATTAATATTTTTATTATTACTTTATTATTTTTGTAGTACTTTGCAATTTAGTACTTTGTCATTAATATTTTATTATAGTATAATGTTTCACTTTTATCTTTGTGAAAGGTCTATCCATATTTTAGTATTAACTTAATTATATTATACTATTAATGCATTATTATTATTTTATTATAATAATCTTATAGTTATTTTAATAATATTTTATTAGTATTAGGGTTTGGCCTTTTTTTGTCAAAAATTTTTCATTTCTTGATAGACTTTGGAATGGGAATCCCATAGCAAGGGGGAACCATGAGTGGCCATTCCTCCATATAGGAGAAACCCATTCCACAGAAAAAAAAGGGAATCAAAATCTCATTCCAACCAAACAAATAGTTGGAATTGGGTTAGGCCATTCCAATTCCAATTCTAATAACAGGGGCGGAGCTAGAATTTTTTCTTGAGGGGGGCCAAAACCTAGAAAATATAGATAGGGGGGGGGGACCAGAAACTAAGATACATGAATAAGGGGGTTAAAATATAAGTGAGATTTAAATGGGTTTTGTGGGAATTTTAAAGGCATAGGAGGGGCCATGTCTCCCCTCCCCTCCGCCACCCCCTGGCTCCGCCCCTGTCTAGTAACCTATTCTAAGGGAACCAAATTCATCCTCACATTCTATTTGCCTCCAAATGTTGGGACGCATATGTGAGTGGTTGTATCACTGTTCGAAAAATATATAAAATGTCAAGAAATTTATATATAAGGATTGACTCACAAATTAATGGATTAAGTTTACTTAATGGATTAGGCTTTTGGGTTAGATATAGTGTCAAGTCCTATGTACACGTATGAACTCCCTAATTTAGACGACTCTCTTCACCTTACCCAATACAAATTAAATTCCTCTATAGTCATTTCCTTTCCAATTAATTAATTTAGACGACTCTTTTCGATTGCCAAGTAATTTTATTAACTGAATCTATAGTTTAAAACAAGTCAATGAAAACAGAAAACTTAAGCATTGATTAAACTAGCTAAATTTTATAGTTTAGCATTTTAGCTTTTTCCTTGGTAAACATTTTGTGTGTGTATGGTTATTATTATTTGTCAAGCTTTGTATTGTTAACATAAATAAGAAGAGAAAAGAAAACAATATTAAGAAGAGGAAAAGAGCACACACAAATCTACATGATTCGGCATATCTACATAAAAATGAAATTCCACTATTTCCAATCAATCGTCAAAACCCTAAGAGAAAGCTAGTATTGCATATACCGTTTAGGATGAGGTCTCTTGCATAACCTCATTTACTGGTGTAATATCCTCATTTTCCTTAAGGTTGCGTTTGGAAACAATGCAGAATGTAGAGTGTAAAACGGTTCATATAAATTGTAAAATTGAGTTAGTTTTGCACCGATAAATTTATCTTCTTATCAAACAGACTTTTAGCTGTAATGGATGCAAACATGAAATCCAATAAAGCATATGTTTTTTTTTATCAAAAGCCCACTTGAATGCAAATTTACTTCTTTTTTTATTGATGTATTTTTACATCTTATTATCAATATAAATATGCATTGATCTATCATTTGTCAATGCATATATGTAATATTGCCAAACACAGGCAAAAGTAAACCAGAGTGCAAATTTACCCGGAACCAAAATTTACACTCTATTTGCATCGTTTTCAAACACAGCCTAAGAGCAGACATCCTTCATTTTAATGCATTGCAGGAATCTTCACAAGAGATTTAATTTCTATAAGGAGGCTACAAAAATAATTACCATTCATTGAAATGACTGAATGCCCGTTTGGGAGGGATTTCACGCAGTAGCTTCTGGTATCACATGAGGTGAAAAACCTGGAACATCATGAAGCCATGTTTCATATATATATATATATATATATATATCAAAATGTTAGGCAACTACCTACTGCAAAGTGGCTAAGGCAATGCAGAATCTCTTCCAAATGGGGCCTGAAGCTCTGGCTTTTCTTCGCTTGGGAGTAATTAGAGATGTAAATGGATCGAATTTGAATAAGTATATCCGAATCCGATCCAACACTGTTCATGCCGGATCTGACAGGATTTGATTTGAATTCGAATCCTATCAGTAAGTCAGATCTTTTGATTTGATCCGATCTGACTTGTTTTCTTTAAAAATTAATAAATTATTAAAAGAAAAATATAATATAATAATTTAAATAAAGTAAAAACAAAAAAATACAAGTATTTTTTAATTATTTTCATCATAA